ATCATTTTGGAAGTTCTGTCGGAGGTGGGAATTGAAGCTCCTTCTGACAGGAGAATCTGCCAGATGTTCCCAGCAGACCCTCGCGATATGTCTGGCCCTGCCTGGTCTGACCGGCATCCTCCCCCACCATCTGAGCCAACTCACCACCAGGTAGTGGCCAGTTGACAGCTCCACCCCTCTCTTCACCCGAGTGCCCAAGGCATGCGGCCGCAGGTCAGATGAAACAACAACAAAGTCGATCATCGAGCTGTGGCCTAAGGTATCCTGGTGCCAAGAGCACATATGGACACCTTTATGTCTGAACATGGTGTTCATTATGGACAATCCATGACTGGCACAGAAGTCCAATAACAAAACACTACTCGAATTCAGATCGGGGGGCCATTCCTCCCAACCCCACCTCTCCAGGTCTCACTGTCGTTGCCCACGTGAGCGTTAAATTCCCCCAGCAGAACGAGGGAGTCACCGGAAGGAGCGCTTTCCCCCCAAGGTCTCCAAAATGGGTGGGTAGTCTGAACTGTAGTTTGGTGCATAAACACAGACCACAGTCAGAACCCGTCCCCCGACACGTAGGCGGAGGTAGGCTACCCTCTCATTCACTGGAGTAAACCCCAACGTACAGGTACCAAGATGGGGGGCAACTAGTATGCCCACCCCTGCTCGGCGCCTCTTAGTGGGAGCAACTCCAGAGTTGTAGAAAGTCCAGCCCCTCTCAAGGAAACTGGCTCCAGAGCCAGAGCCATGCGTTGAGGTGAGTCCGACTATATCGAGTCGGAACCTCTCAACCTCACACACCAACTCAGGCTCCTTCCCCACCAGAGAGGTGACATTCCATGCGCCAAAAGCCAGCTTCTGTAGCCGAGGATCAGACCACCAAGGTCCCCGCCCTCGACTAACACCCATCACACACTGCACCCAACCCCTTTGGCCCCTCCCTCACGTGGTGAGCCCATGGGAAGGGGGACCCACATTTTCTCTTCGGGCTGTGCCCGGCCGGGCTCCATGGGTGAAAGCCCGGCCACCAGGCGCTCGCCAACGTGACCCATGTCTGGGCGAGGGAACACGGTTTCCATTTATATAATTCATCATAAGAGGTCTTCGGGCTGATCCCTCACCTAGGACCTGTTTGCCATGGGTGACCCTACCAGAGGCAGAAAGCCTCAGACAACTTAGCTCCTAGGATCATTGAGACACTTAAACCCCTCCACCACGGTAAGGTGGCAGCCCAGGGAGAGGCTATTTTGGAATGTAAAAAAAAAAAAAAAAAAGTTGCATGGCTAATCTCTTTGACAGTTGTTTGAGATGTGGTGTTATGCCCAAACCAATTATGAAGTTTTTTTTAAACTTTAGAAAGTGTTTTTGTTCCTTTTCATATGTAGTATTTTAATGTAATTCTTGAAAATAAGTATTCATTTCACAATAAGTCATTCACATTTTATTAACAAAAGTACATTGTTTTAAATACAGTTTTGGTAAGTCAATTAAATAATAAATAAATATTTAAATAACTTGAGAACTTCTTAGAGTCTTTAAATCAGAAGAAATGTCACATTATAGTGCAGCGTATTAGTAAGTAAAAGTGAAGTAACATTGTTAAGGACTCTTGGTTGATTTTTTTAAGCCTGCAATAATGTTGTTGGCTCGCTGAATTGTATTTTCAAAGGCTTCCAGAAATTCTGCAAATTTCTTATTAGACCCCTCTATTTCCTCTGTGCAGTTAGATATCTGTCAGAAGAGAGTATGAGTTAGTAGTGAATGGAAAATGTTTAGGTTCAAGTTATATCAAAAGCAATAAAAATCAATACTCACAGGCAAATGAAAGTGTTTCAAACTTTCCAGGGCCTGCTTAATTCGAACTTTTCCCACCCCACATTGCCTTTTGGCATTGTTCAGTCCATTCTTAAATGTCTCCAGAGATGCATTTAGGCAGCCATTCTGAGGAAAAAAAATATTGATTAGTAGATGAAGGTTTTATACAGTAAACAGACTCAAAACTATTCAACTCATATAGTAGATATATAATTGCAGACCTTGATGGTAAATGGCCTGCAGTTTGCCTTTGAGTCAGAGGACTCCAAAACGCTTTACATAAGTCAGTCATTCCTTCATTCACTCTCTCTCACACACACACACACACACACACACACACACACACACACTGATGTCATGAGCTACACTGTAGCCACAGCTGCCCTGGGGCTCACTGACAGAGGTGTCACATGTTGAACAAGATGCACAATAAATCTCTTACCGAGATGGTTTGTGGTGTCACAAACGACTCATTTCCCTATTACAAAAGAGGAGAGCCTTATTATTAAAGTTTCCTGGTGCAAAAATGTTCTGCTCTTACTGCTAAATATTTTCTCACAACAGTTTTTTACTTACACATAATCCTGCTATGGATTTTAGTCGACCAAAGCCAAAGTCCAACATGGTCGGGTTTGCTAGAAGGTATCCTGACAGAAGAAACACGCAGAAAGACATTCTGAATGAGCTCTTCATGTTCATCTTTTCAAGCAACTTTGTTTAAAGTTTCCTGTAGTAGTCTGTAGTAGTTATTTTCGTGGCTTGTGGTGTCCTCTTACACAGAGTGCTAATTTATAGGGTACTGGGGTAAAAAAATGGGTGGGCTGGAAAAGACATAATTTGTAGGAACATTTGAAAATTTCCTATTATTCACTATGTATTCTTTCCTCACCAGCTACATGGGGAAAAACCTAAAGGTAAGATCAAGTGGGCACTATAAGTCAGTGTGATAATGATTATTTAATATTTCACTTTACTTAACCACATTTCAACAGAGAACGTTAATCATATTTAATATATAATTTTCATCAATACCAGTTATTGCTTTTATTTTGTGCACTTATTTAACTGGTATTTTTTATATTGACCATTATGCCACTGATACAAACAAATACAACTCAGTTTGGTTTTCTAATTTGAGAATAGTTCAAGTTGTTTATCTGTGTGAAAGCTTTATAATAGTTGATATTTTAATTTACTCAAAATCTGTTTTAAAGAGACTTTTTCCATAATATGGTGGGAAAAAATTAAATATATAATTTCATAATTTGAATGAGGGGATCTGAAACATAACGAGGTGAGAATTGTAGCAATAAGGATTTTTTTACTTAAATATTGCATTTTTGTAAAATGCATTCACTTTATTCTGTCAGAGACTTGGCATCAAAGAATGAAGGGCTTCTCTCGACTCCCACGGTGTGGTGGGAAATCCCTGCTAACGTCGGGTTAGTGTAGCCAACAAGCTCATTCATTTTAACTTGTTCGATTGGATGCAATTGTCATTTTTTCTCCCACTTACTCAAAATGCTTCACCAGTTAAGTTTCAGTTCTGAGGTTGTTTTCAGGACAGTGAATTGCTGTGAAAGTGTCAGGATTTTGACATCATTGAAGAGGGTGGGGAAATTTCTATCCATGGAATTTGTTGCTTTTGGGGTCACCCTGCAGTTTCCACACTTTTCTAAGTCCATTCTCAAATTTAAGTCACTAGTAATACTAAAGGAAAGCACATAGCATGGCGTGAGTTTTAATTTACAACTATTAAATCATCAACAAAGCCATCATAAAAAATGGCAGTGCAGCCGGAAATGTGTAAACTCTATAGTTGTACTGCAGTTACTTTTTTGTGCTTATCAGATGTAGTTTAATGATTTTTTTTTATTTTATCTTATTTTTTTTACCCAAATGTCCATGCATCCATTCTCTTTTGCTTACCTGGTGTTGCGTCGCAGGGGAGTAGGGTGGCCCAGACTTCCTTCTCTCCTGCTACTTGGGCCAGCTCCTCCCAAGGCATTCCCTGGCCAGCTGAGAAACATAGTCCCTCCAGCATGTCCTGGGACATCCTTTGGGTCTCCTCCCTGTTGGACGTGCCTGGAAAACCTCACTAAGGAGGCATCCCAACTAGATGCCTGAGCCACATCAACTGGCTTCTCTTGTTGTGGTGGAGCAGCGGATCTACTCCGAGCCCTTCCTGGATAACCAAGCTTCTCACCCTTTCTCCAAGGGAGAGCCGAGCCACACTGTTGAGAAAATTCATTTCTGCCGCTTGTATCCACAATCTCTTTCTTTCAGTCACCATGACCATAGGTAAAAGGAAGAACGTAGATCGACCGGTAAACCGAGAGAGCTTCGCGTTCCGACTCAGCTCGCTCTTCACCACGACATACCAGTACAACGCTCACATCACTGCAGACGCAGCACCAATCCACCTGTCAATATTCCAATACACTTTTCCCTCACTCATGAACAAGACCCCGAGATACTTAAACTCCTCTACTTGAGGTAGGACCTCTTCCTTGACCCTGAGAAGTCATTCTACTCTTTTCCAAATTAGAACCATTGTCTTTGATTTAGAGAAGCGGTTTCTCATCCTAGCGGCTTCACACTTGGCTGTCAATGCTCCAGTGAAAGCTGGAGATCATATTCTGATGAAGCCAACAGGACCACATCATAAGCAAAAAGCAGAGACCTGATTCTTAGGCCACCACAACCGATCCCCTCAACACTTTGGCTGTGCCTAGAAATCCTGTCCATAAAAGTTATGAACAGAATGTGAACAAAATATTTTTAGCCTCTTAAAATTGTTTGATTTACTATGAAAAACAATGATCTACCAATAATATTGATAGTTAAAATCTGCCATGAAGTTGCTTATAGGAAGTGTAATTTACAATGTTCATGTTGGGACTTTCCCTTTCATGTTTCTAGTGGTTTACTTTTCTACAGACTAAAGAATGTCAGCACGTGTGTTTTTATTCTTTATACTTTGCATACTTTGATCTTTATTTAAGTACTCTTTTGTGTAAAATGTAGTCTGTAATGTCTAGACTTAAGAGTTGATATTTTTCGGATTAAATTTGTTATATATATATATATATATATGTATATATATGTATATGTATATATATATATATATATATATATATATATATATATATACCTGATTTACTAAAATCTAAATGTCATTTATTTTTTTCACAAATTCTTTGTTGTCTGGGATAGTGATGTCATTGAGACAGTGGAACTTTGGTTACCACACACAATCATAGTAAAAGTCACACACAGCTAGGGTTGTCACCATAACTGGTGTAGCGGTAAACCCTGGTAAAAAAAGTTCACAATAATAATAACCGTTTTGTTTTTCAAAAAATATATTATCTCGGTTGATTACCGTGGCTGCGGTGACCCTGTTTTGTTTTAAAAGCATTTTTATTTTTTGACTATGATATGTTTTGTTGGTCTCTGTGAAGAACTTTGTGATTCGCTTTCTGTGAGTGCCATATAAATAGAATTTACTTAGCTAAATAAAATATAGAATTGAAGTCAGTTTTAGTTTGTTCTTTATTGTAAGTAGTTAACTAAAGAATAGCATAAAATGGCCACGGCTAGACTTAAAATAAAAATTTCTATTAATTATTTTTTTTAGAATTTTACTTATCACTATTGATCAAAATGATATGTTTTTTTATTGATATGCTTTTTTCTATATCGTGCAGCCCTAAAACTGAGTAATTTTATCAAATAAATGTCCAAAGGAAATACTTGGTCTTATTTACATAACTGTGTTCTCTTAAAGGAGCATGGGGCAGGAATTGTCCAAAAACAAAAAGTACATGTTCATTCTTGTGAAGCTTATGGGTGATGAAGCATTTTAAACTAAAAAGAATGATGAAACCAGTTTATCATTCCATTTTGTTAATCATGCTGTGTGCTGCAAAATGCAACACATTCCTGATCCGAATTTCCCACGCTGTTTTACGGATATGACGTTAATTGACGCTTCAAGCGCGTTCTCGACAAGGTTCAAACTCGGAAAAACACTTGCTAGGTGGCGGTAATGCGTCTTTCACTACTAGCCACGTTAAAACCTCAAACAGAAGAGGAAGAACCCTGGAAATGGATTCTACAACTAGCAAACGACCAAGCGCAACCCAAAGCCCACTAAAGAGTGGCACAAAGAAGAAGGTTTTATCAGCGGCATCTCGAGAGTCAAAAAGAAAATATGATAAAAGTCGGTCAGGGACCCGAATATCTATTGGTTACGCTCTGGAAGAATGGAGGCTGCTTCAACTGGATTTGGTGCCTGAAAAAGGATGCGGACATGGCACATTTTCTAGTGACCAGGTAAGTGTTGGTCTCCTTATTTCTGCTGTAGGTTTCAGTAACGAGTAGGTAAACATATCAGAGCTGTATCTGCACAATTTGAGAAAATAAAATAAAACTTATGGATTTAGATAATGCTGATTTAGGTAATCTAACAAATCTTTGTGCAGATGAACAAGAAACTTATCTAAGCTAACGGTGTTTAGCATATGGCTTCCTGATCAGTTTAAAAAAGCTAAAAGCAACGAAGGTGTAATCAGATCACTTCTACGTTTTGTGGACGACACGCCGCATGTGTTTGGAGATAAATGGATGCTACGTTTATTCTGACGAGAAAAGTAAACAGAGCTTGATTTGATTATACCGCTCAGCCGGAGAGTGCTAGCGTGCGTTAGCATGTTAGCTGCGATCACGTTTCAGTTTGTATGTACCACAGAAGAGAATGGACATTTTCCAAACCAAAGATGAGTCTTTAGAATTATGTCATATTTGATCTACAGTCCAACCTCTAAGCAGGACTGTTACTTCAGTAGATAATGTTATTCGTGGGGTTTGTGTAACAGAACCCCATCAGAATATATTTTCCTAGCGCTATTGCTGTGCTACATAACAATAAATAATAAGTCAGCCATAACAACACGTTTGACTAAAAGTAAAGTTGTGCAGAAGTTTGTGTTTATTTTTCTAAATTTGTCCAGTTGAATGTAGGTCAGAATAAAATATGTTTGTGAAAATGATAAATAAATTTTTTTATGACTGACATGCATTTTCATATTACTAGTTGTGCCACAGGTAAAGAAGCTTAGCCATTATTGATCTATGTAAACAGAAGGTGTAGAGTCTCAACCAACTTGTTGACATTTTTGCGTAAAAATGTGTTTTCCAGCTACCGGAAGAAGCAGGCTCCTGAAACTGCAATTCATGGAGGTAATGTGCAGTCAACCTCAACACCCAGTAAGCGAACAGCAGCTAAAATGTCGCATCGATTATCTCCAACTGAACCTGTGTCTGAGGGGTTAGTATCTTTTCTGTAAAACAAATATTAACGTTTTTGTGCTATGATATTTCATACATTAAATTACACCTTGCATATCCACACTTGGTTCAGAACTAACATCACACCACCAAACACTTCTGACATTATCTTTACAGGGAAGATTTTCTAATGGCTGGTGTTGAGGCCTTAGCTGATGACCTAGATTTGGATCCTTTTGAAGAAAGGTATGTTCATGAGAAGTCTTGCCATATACGCAGGAAATTACTGCTGTAATATGTGTAAAAAAGATAAAAAAACAATAGTTCAGCAAATATAGGTCATTATATATATTTATTTATGTTGTGAAGTGTCAATTCACAGCAGATTGTTGTTATTTGCAGAAAGAATTAATGACAGATGTATTAGGCTCCACATTTATCTCTTTAGAATCAGTACCATTTCAGATAAGTTCCAGTATTTATCTTTACGTACAACAAATATTATTGTGTTGTCTGTAGTTTCAAATCCATGGATCTAGCTACGGATGCAGTCTAAATTGATGAGGACCAAGCAAACAACTTACTCAACAGTGTGTGAGTTGCAATGTCTTCTTATCTAGGGGTGGGCAATATAAACGATATAAGGTAGAAATGATATAAAATTGGGTAATTTTACGGCCCCCAGCTCATCTAGGAGATGATGTTAAAGGGGGTGTAAAGAAAGATATGTGAATTACCGGACAAAACCAAGATTTACTCTCTTAGAGGAGTTTATTAACTAAAAAACACTGCTTTATGCAGGCTAAGACAAAATGAATACAAAACCAAAAGGACGTCCCACTGGGGAATTAACAATACTAAACAGAAGGATCATCCAATACTGGGTAAATAACAATACTATTAATAGACACAAAACGCCAGTACTAATCCGGGAAAGTAAAGGAATGAGACAAACACAAAAGGCTACACCAAAAGGGTGAGCTGAACTCTTTAACGAGTATTCTAATGGAGACAAAAACGAGCTCTGGCTACTAGGAAGTGTACCACACAGGTAATCAAAACGAAGACTTTAACGTCTGGTTTGCTAGGAGGGAAAAAGAGGAACACTCGCTTTAACACCAGGCCTCTGCTAAGCTTCCCTCCTCGAATGACAGAGGAAGCTGCCTTTTATAGGAAGCTCCCTGATTGAGAAGATTAGCGACACCTGGCTCAGCTAGAGCCAGGTGAACAGGTAGGAGCTCTGAGGCCACCTTGTGGCCACAAAACAGACAACGTCTGTAACAGGTAATGATAGTTTTTGGCTATATCGCAATACGGCGATATTGTGATAACACATGACGTCACTAAGATGTGCACCCTGCTGACAATGGGACAACAGAATGGCGGTGACTGCAAGAATGGAGTGGGCAGAGGAGGAGGCCTATATGCCTCAAGTGGCATATATTTGCCACATGAGGATATCCAAAAGCATGTCATTTTGACATCTATAAACAGATGAAAAAATATATCGCAATATATATTGTTACTGCACATGCTTCAGATTATATCGCAATATAGATTTGAGGCCATATTGCCCAGCCCTATTCTTATCTACATTTTTTTTTAAACTCCAAAGTCTTAAAACAATATATTAATTCTACTTTTATTTATTGTTTTCATAACAGAATAGAACTGTTATGAAAACTTTGTCAGGCTGACGAAGTTTGCAGCCGCAAACAAAACGTTGCAGGTAAATAAAACCCTTCTATGTTTTAAAAAGAACTAAAAGATGGAATTGTTGTTTTATCTTTGTTCACAGGCTGGGATCCTAAAGGGAATTTCCATCCTACTTGTGTGGCTGAATGACATCTTCAACCAATTTTGGTACATTTGCCAGAAAGCACAACATCGTGATATGTTTAATGTAAGTATTGTGACATCTTTTGGACAACAAGACAACAATGCACATTGACATAATTACCTTTCTTTTCATAATAGTGCCAGGTCTCGTGTTTCTGTTGGTGAGCGCTTCTGTCACATGTAAAGTTTTCAAATAAAACTTATTTTTTCTGTTAGGACATGTGGGTGGGTGTGCTTCACCATGTCACAGGGAAGCATGAATGGACCCGTGGCAAATGTGACCATGGACCACTTGATGCAACGTGGCATGGTGCCAGGATCTCCACCACACGAGGCTCTTCAACGAATCATGTTCAACAGACGCTGGTTGAAGGATGTCACCAATCTGACCTTTAGGTATATTAATAACATTTTCATAAGCAAAAAAGCTAAAGTGTCAATATCAAAGCTGAAAATTTACATATAGAAATGACAATTGTGGGTGAAAAGGCAATCAAAAGTGTGATTCCTGATAATCTATAAAGTTGTAGCTTTTGTTTTTTTACAGGTCAACTTCAGAACTGGAGAGTTTCCAGAATTGCATTCTCATGTAATCTATGTATGATCTAATGCTGCTGTTCTCCTCTCCATAAAGGCCCCAGCTACGTGAGGCATCAAAAGACAGGAATGACTTCTTTCATGCACACAGATTTATTAGAAATTAAGAAAAAATACTATGTACAAATGCAAATAACAGAACTTTTTTGTACATAAATAAAAATAAATATATTGCACAAACTGTTTATTTTTGGGTGAAAATGCTGTCTTCAGCTAAAGTTATTTTGAGGTATTGTGCTGTTTTGGAACTACTGTAGTTGTAGATAAACGGTTTGGATTTTTGGGTTAGGGTGCCCTCAGTCAGGAAGACGGTGTCCTGGCGTCTTGCCGAAACTCCTGGATATCCAGCATCACCCCTGGAAGACCGGTCACCACTCTCGAGAATATAATCTCTCTCCTCCTGGCTCAGGTGTTGTAAAGCTGTCTAGAAATTAAAGAGTATATGTTTACATGACTAGATTCATATCTCTAGTGAGTAGGGCTGTAGCGAAGCCTCGACGAAGTCGACGGCTCGATTCTAAAAATTTGTCGACGTCAGATCCGGAAGTCGACGCACCGCGCCCACTTGTTGCATCCCCAGGAGTTTGTAAATAGAGGAGGAATCTGCCCGTTTTTCCTCTAGTTCGCCCTCTTCTCCGCCTTCACTAACATCTCCGCCAAATACCGAAGACCCGGAACAATGTCCGTCCACTACTAGATTATTTTCCTGTTTTTCCCCTTCGTCTCCCGGCAACGGACAACAACTTCCGGGGTCAGATGCACTGCTTCGTGTCTATCGCAGATGTAGAACATCACCGGGAGCGTTTCTCCCTTCATTAAGGAGCTTCTTTCAGACATTAGGAGAGCTGTTTTGGTGGTAGCAGTCTCTCCTCCGTGCTGGTCTGTTTGCTGCTGGGTGTTTTTGGTTTATTTAAACTTGGTAACTTGAACTTAACGTTGGTAAAGCTACTGTTAGCATCTTCGCTAACAGCTTCTTGCGTTGGGATAAGCTGTTACGTTTTGGTTTAGAGTTCATCTTTTTTGTGGTGTAGATCTCCCTTTTATTACATTTAGAGTGTTGTGGGTTTTCGGTTTAGTGTAAAATATCACCTTGAGTTTGGTTTAACCCGTAAGACCACTCGCCTCACGCACATAAGTGACCAAAACAAAGCAGCATGGAGACACTCCATCTTCTACCACCTCTCAGGCAGCAGCCTGCTTTCCCAAGTTCTACACGTCACCAGAACATAACCAACCACAACACAATAAAAGCAGTGTTATACAAAATGGAAGGCCTGTAGTGTTTATTCTCTTACAGTAAGAATTTATCAATTTTTTTGAGGAATTTATTTGAGATTTTCTGGTTTTTGTTAATTGTGCAATAGAAAAATAATCATTAGATTAATTTTCTAAATAGTCATTAGAATAGTCGACTATTCGATAAAATAATCGTCAGAATAATCGTTTTAAAAATAATCGTTTACCCCCAGCCCTACCAGTGAGTGATGTTTTCGTTTTTGGCATCTCTCTATTATTTTATTTTTTTACACAAATGGCTACAACCAACCTGCATCTCAGCTATACTGGCAGCTCTCAGCTGTGCAAGCCGGTCTCGGTCCTCTTCTCTGAAAGCTGTTCGCTGCCTACCCCGGCGCCCTGGTCCTCTTGAAGGAGCTCTGGACCTCAACCTGCTGCCCTCACCCCTTGAGCGTGTCCTTCCCCGACCCTCGGAGCGACCTTTTCCTCTCCCCTTTAGCCCCTGGTCTCAGACTTTCCCACGACACATCAAAGTCTGTGGCAGGCTCGGGCACACTCCATCGGAATTGTCTTCCATCACTCCTTCCAATATGAATTCCTGAAAATCAATGACAGTAATGATAAAAATGACTATTACCCTGTAGGTCTTGTTGATATTATGATTTTATTTTGATGCATTTTTGAACTAAACATTGATATTTATGTTCTTATTTACATTGTTGTGATGCCTGTCCTGTAATGAAATTGGTTTCACAAATGATGTCAGTGACTTGAAATTGGATGTTCTTTCATGATGTATAAACAATAACATTAGCTTGTTAGTAAGCTTAGTGCAAAATAATAACTGTAATTGGTCTAAAAACATCAGAAATCACCTGCAGCCACAAAGCCTTATGCTGATAAAGTAGCATCATGTTACTGTCTTGCTAACCAGTCACAAAACTGGCTTATGAATATTTCATAGGAAGCAGCACTTGCTTTACATCACGAGTGTCATGGCTAAATTAAAATGCTAATGTTGTCATGGAATTATACAAATATTAGACTAAAGTAACCATGTTACTTACTTCATCGCTCGACACGGTGCCTTGTTCGAGCCGCGCTCTGGCCGTACATCACTGTAACTTTTTTTTTCTAGTGAAGAGTTTGTGCGCGCTCTCGTGCCGGGCTGCAGTTACTCACAGCGCCGAGTGCGTCGCTAATGAGTTTCGTTTCTTCATCCTGCCCCATGCTCCTTTAATATACTTTGAAGACTTGTGTTGGGTTTACAAGTTTATAAGCACAGCAGTAAATCTTTTTCAACCAGAATAATTGGTAAAATACTTGTTCAATTTGGCCTTCCTGTAGATTCATCATTTCAGTGAGCAACTTCTAATCACTGAAAGTCTGTAAAACATAATTGTACATATTTTAATCTTAAATTAAAGCACAAGGAAACTTAAAAAAAATCCCCTTGAATTGGAAACAATTTATGCTTTTATCAAACGACACATCCATGTCCCATTAAACTGGGCAGAGACTAGAAAATATTTAATTAAAATCAGAAAAACTAAGTCATGAAATTGTAAAAAGATAATAAATATCATTAAACAAATGAAAGATGATTATAAATTTTGGTTAAAAATTAAGAAATCACAAAAAATTTAGATAAATGTAGCTTTAAATAAAAGGGTCTTCAGCTGCTTTTTAAAGGTGACCAGGTTGTCAATACTACTTAAGAATAAAGGAAATTAATTTCAAAGTTGAGGTGCAACAGCCTGGAAAGAGTGTTCACCTTGACTTTTTTGTCGGGTCTTTGGAACTTCTAGCTTCAACAGGAACAGGATTTGACATGAAATCTGTGCTAATGTTGAAAAATGATTGTACAAAATGTGACTGTCAGTCTCTGATAGCTGCTACCATCTTCTGTGACCCTAAAAATCTCAGTAGGGTCACAGAATATGGTAGCAGCTATCAAAGACTGTGGCCGAGGCATGTTGTACAATCACGTTTCCCTTTTGTTCGTCTGTCAAAGGGACAGTCCGCCAAACTGTTTTGAAGATGAAAATACACAACTTCTCTAAGTAAGACTTAAGTACCTCTATCTGCTCTTGACTGAAAGAAAAGCCAAAGTTGAGTTTGACTTGACGGCAGAAGATGACCAAGTTTTTGACTATTCAGGGAAACCATGATCTCAGGGACATTGATCAGACATTCAGTCTTTTAAGAGTTAAACTGAAGGAAGTTATCTTCTAGCCGACTGGTGATAGCTGATAGACACTAGTAGTTCAGTTTGTAGAACTCAGAATCCTTGAAGGATACAGGTTTAGTTACAGAGGAGTGTCATGTACATATAGGGGAAAGGAGACATTATGAAAATCAATTATCTGTCCGAGAGGGTGTGTTTACATACAGTAGAAACAATAGAGGACCCAAAACGGAGCCTTGGGGTACCCCCAAGTTCCCATAATTCTGCAATGAAAGACAGAAAGAAAACTACCTTTTATATAGTGCCTCTCAAGATAAAATGATAAATGACCCGCACTTGTATAGCGCCTCTCAGAGTAAGGACTCCAAAGCGCTTTACACTCCAGTGTATCATTCATCCATTCACACACACATTCACACGCTGATGGTGATGAGCTACAGTGTTGCCACAGCTACCCTGGGGCGCACTGACAGAGACAGAGGCTGCCGAGCACAGGCGCCACCGGTCCCTCCGACCACCACCAGCAGGCAAGGCAAAAATCATGAGGCACTTCACAACAACATAAATTAAAGTATAAAAAAAATTCTAAAATAAATAAAAATATGTTTAAAAGGAGAAAAGAAAGAAATGTAAGGAAAAGAGATAAAGAAAATGAATAGGAAAGAGGGAAATCAATGGATCCTGAGAAAGGTGGAATAAGGAGAGGGTGATGATGGTCACGCAAAAGCCAGCTTGAACAAGTGAGTTTTCAGCTGCTTTTTAAAGGAGACCACTGAGTCCACCTATCTCAGGCTCAAGAGGAGAGAGTTCCAGAGACTGGGGACCACAGCAGCAAATGGTCTGTAACCGTTGGTCTTTAGCCTGGTGCGCTGCACAACCAGTAGGCATTCGTCACTGGACCTCAGGGACCTGCTGGGGGTGTAAGGACTGGGAAGATCACCTATGTATAATAGTGCTTGTCCATGTAAGGCCCTAAAATCCAGAACCAGGATCCTGAAATGAACCCTTAGTTGACTGGCAGCCAGTGAAGCTGGAGGAGAAGCGGGGTGATGTGGGTGTGTTTGGAGGACTTGGTCAGAATCCGAGCACAGGCATTCTGAACCACCTGTAGACGGTTCAGGGAGGTTTTGCTCAGACATGTGAAAAGTGAGTTGCAGTAGTCTAAGCGTGAGGAGATGAAGGTGTGGATAACTGTCTCCAGTTCAGAGTGGGACAGAATGGGGCTCAGCTTAGCAATGTTCCTGAGATGGAAGAAGAAAGAGTGAACAAAAGAACTGACATGATAATCCAGGGTGAGAGCTGGGTCAAAGGTCACGCCAAGATTCCTGACAGAGGGTTTGGTGTGAGAAGCAAGCTTACCAAGATGGCCTCTGACTTTGGGAACCAGCTTGTCTGGGGTACAGATGAGTATCTCAGTCTTATCTTCATTCAGCTGTGGAAAGTTACCAGCCATCCAAGTTTTAATGGAGTGTGGTGTGTGACAGCTGCAGCTTAGACATCTCATG